CACAGAAGGAACCCAGCCACGCCCAGAGCCAGAGTCAGTGTCCAGACACTCTGCTCCATTCTTACTCATCTTCTGCGGCCCAAGGCTGTTACACAAACAAATCTCTGGCTTCAGGCTCCTTCTCTCCCTGGAGTGCATGCACTTGTGGGGCCGGCTTCACCAAGCCTTGCTGTAGCTCCTCCGTCCCCCAGGGCCTGGCCACCGCTGACCACACTGCTGGTCATACAAGGAGGGGCTCCATCTGTGGAGCTCGGTGCCCACTGCTGCTTGCGCCCCAGGACTGGCAATTGTTCTGGTCCCCATGTCCCTGTGCTGATCTCAGAGTGAGAGAAGAAATACGTCTGGGACCCCTGTGGCATGGTGCTGCAGTGTCCCTCGGGTAGTTACTGGTAGGGTGCGGCCCAGTGTGGACTTGCCCTTGGTGTAAACTGGCTCCCGACAAGGTGAGCCAGGGGCAAAAGGTAAAAAAGGGTGAGCAAAGCCTGGCATCCACCAGGTCCTGTGAGCACTCTGGCCTTCTGGCCCAGGAAGGAAAAAAGAAAGGCAAGTCTCCACCCAAACTCTGTTTAAAAGTCCAGGCCCAACATCCCACAAGCAGCAGATGTGTCCACATTCCCAGCCAGTCCAGGCCAGCATCCTCCAGGCTTGCCAGCCTGCACAGCACCTCTGCCCCTCCTCCTGCTGTCACGTAAACCTGCACAGTACACATGCACTGTGGCCTTTTCAGCCCGCATGTACTCTGTGTAGGCTTTGTCCTGCTGTTTGTCCTGCTGCTTCTCAAGCAATACTGGTTTGTGCACCCTCACCCGGGGTATGGAAATCTGTCAAGGGCCAGCTGCACTTTCAATCCCACCACCTCCGGCACTTCCAGAACCACCTCAGGGTTCCCTCCCCTCTGCCCAGCAATCTGGCCAGATCCTCACTGCAAGGATGGCAGGAACTCCTTCATAATAACGTCAGGCATGGGTGACAGAAACACGGTGTAGAAAGCGGGTTCCGTGCAGGCTTCTCTTTGAAGTGCAGTTTGCATAAGAGGCCCTTGTGCAGAAAAAATGGATGCCAGGCTCTGGTTGGTTGGTTTGTTTTCATCTGAGCCTGGTGAGCCACTGCGAGCCCTTTTTTAGTAGGTATCTTCTTTCTCAGGGTCCATGGAAGTATAGCTCATAATAACAGCCCTCTCAGACAATAACGAGAATCACATTAGAGTGTAGATGTGAAGACACTTTTAAAAAATCAAAGCATTTACAAATGGCATATCCTGAGTATGAGCGTGTGACAATCCCATGCCACCAGGGGCCACATTCTTCTTGCATCTAGATATGACCCTTCAATGGCTGGGGGGGGGGGGACGTGACAAAAATTCCTTTCCATCTTTGTGCAAGCCGATGTGCTTGACTAGAGACTTTAGGGAGCTTTAGAACAAATTCAGAACAAACTATGAATATTTCTCTGTATGTCATGGACCTCTGGTGTACTTCCGGTTACTAATGCAACTATCAACATTCAAAAACATTGTTTTGTTTGGGGATAATTAAAATTTTAGTGAATTTGTCCTGGCTGGTGTGGCTCAGTGGATTAAGTACCAACCTGTGAACCAAAGGGTCTCCGGTTTGATTCCTAGTCAGGGCACATACCTAGGTTGTGGGCCAGGTCCCCAGTGGGGGGTGTATTAGAGGCAACCACACTTTGATGTTTCTCCGTCTCTTTTTCCCTCCTTTCTCCTCTCTCTAAAAATAACTAATTAAAAAAAAATCCATATCTCCAATGGGGAAATTAATCGATTTACCCTGCAGGTCAGGCAGGAATCAGAGCAAAACCCAAAACTGCCACTTGTCCGAATATCCCAAGGTTGTTACCTCTCTGGCTGCTCTAAGTTAGAGCTCCCATAGGTGGCCTTGACCTTAATGCTTCAAAGTTCTCACTGTAAATGCCCATTTTAGCAAACTTTATCACTCTCTGGTTGTTTCCCTCTTTTGAAACCACATTTGTGGCTTTCTCAAGATTGACCTGCTATGGAATTTCTTTTTTAAGCCTGACAAGGAAGATTTGAGTGTCGTGATAGGCACGGGTGTGGTTGGACTTCGTGGTGAGGGAGAGATTGGGCTCCCGCCACAGCCTGGGCAGGTGGGGGTGTAGAGCGAGGGAGCAGGTGGGGGCCGGCAGACGGAAAGTGACGAGAGTAAATACCAGGGGCAAGGGGAATCCTTGCTGAAGATAAGACCCCTTATGGTTTGTTTTCTAAATGAGTGACCTGTGCTTCTGAGAGGTCGTTAGTGGATCCCTTGGCACCCCCAAGATGCAGGTCAGGACCCTCATTTCTGCAGTCAGTGTCCCCAGCTGCTCCGCTTCCTCTCCCTGCTGTCTCATCACCATTATTAATCTTAATTGGCCAGCTGTTTATTATTAATTTTTAAGACTTAAGGACATTCATGAAGTTTACCTAGCCCCACCACACAGTTTTAAGTGGGTCCATCTTGGCATGATTCCTTGAGGAAATTTTCTCTGAATTCCACTTCAGAAACTTTCAGGTGTATTCCTACATTGTTTTGGGGGGTTGTTTTTGCAAATGTCATGTCCTGGTGGGCTCCAACTGACTCTGGATACCAAAGTTTTGTTCCTTTTCTCTTTTAAGTGATGTATTTATTGGCCATTAAAAGGTTTACCAATCTCTTGTGTGGTGGAATTATCATCTAAGAGTCTCTGGGAAATTAATTTCAGTGATAAGTCCATTCAGCAAACGTTGTGGTTTCTTCCCTTGTTTGGGGGGAGGAACAACGTGGGGGCAACCAGAGCCGGCTACGGCAGACGTGGCCTTTGACTGGGCGTCTAGCAGGATCCGGGCGCCAGAGGACACACACGCAACTAAGACGCCAATTGTTGCTGTGTTTGCTGACCCGGCGTCCACTTTTCCGGGAACAGCACATCAATTAGACTTCATGGTTGTAAACACAGGAAGTGACAGGCCAGACTAAGCCAAAGGGAACCTGCTGGAAGACTAGTGGGAAGTCTTTTCAACAATTCAAAGTAAAGGAAACCAGGCCTGGGGGATAGGCAGGAGCCAAAAGAGAAGAAATAACCTGGATGGAAACCCAGCAACTGGCACACAGCCAGAGCCACCTGGTTAGGATGCTGCCCCCACTGTCACATCTTCCTGGGGATGAGTGACATCTCTGCTCAAAATTCAGGAAGGAGCCTCGGCTGCTGTGGCTTCAGTGGATTGAGTGCTGTCCTGAGAACCAAAGGGTCACTGGTTTGATTCCCAGTCAAGACACATGCCTGGGTTGCAGACCAGGTCCCCAAGTTGGGAGTGTGTGAGAGGCAACCACACATTGATGTTTCTCTCCCTCTCTTTATCCCTCCCTTCCCCTCTCTCTAAAATAAGTACATAAAATCTTTTTAAAAAAATTTAGGAAGGAGCAGCCAGTTAGCTAAGTCCATACAATGAATGGACATGAAGGCTAACAGGAGGGGATGGTTAGTGGAACGAGGAGAAAGAGAGGTGACTAGAAGAAGCCACCTTGAGAGGAGCAGTTTCCACTCTTTAGGGACACAGCCGGCCTTTTGTGACTAGGAGAGGGAATAATTGTCTGGATCCCGTTTTCCTCTCTCCCTCTGACCTCGTATCTGTGCCTCTCACTGGCCAAACCCACCTGGAAACCATTCGTCTCTTCTAAGTTCAGTTTCCAAATGTCTCTTAACAGCACCAACTATGCTCAGCTTACTTGACTGTAACATGCCAGAAGGAAGTCTGTTTTGTTTTTATTTTTATTAGAGGCAGGAAGAAACCCACAAATCCCAAGCACCCTCTCAGCTCAGCTGTTTTTGCTGGCCCAATCTAGACAGGAGTTACCACTTGGCCCAACTGGCGATGTGCAAGGGGAGGGCAGTCATGTTCCTCCTCCCTCCATCATTCTTTCCTACAGTGTGAACCATAGGACAGCAAGTCTGCCAGCCTTGATTTGCAGACCGAGTGGCTCAAACATCGTATCAACCTTAATGGCCTCTGTGTCTGCAAAATAGAGCTTGTCATCTCTCCCATACCCTCCCTGAAGGCAGGCAACTCGTCCCTCTGTCCTGTTCTAACACCCCAGCATCAAGCACAGTGTCTGGCACCTAGCAGGAACTCGACAGATGCTTACTCAGTGTTAAGGTAGTGTTTTCCAGGTAATATTCCCCACTTGTCCAGAGGTTGGCCAAAGCCCCTGCCCTATCCCTAATATGCACAGACATGGCGTCTTCCAGTTTGCTCTCATTAAGTCCTGGGTGAGAAGAGTCGTATAGATAAAGACCCCCAGTGGTGGGTGGTCACCATCTTCCTTACCAGAAGCCATGTCTTCATTAGCAACCAAACCCTGCGTGGCCCAGGGCAGGCCTTCAGAACTTTACAGTGGGGCAGTAAAAACTCAATTTCTTGCTGGAGGTGAGGCAACACAAAGGCGTTTCCCAGTTGGCACCATCATTGTTAGGATCGTTCTCACACTGGACTTTGAGCAGCCCTGCCCGTTTTCCCTTCTCCCCGTGAAAGAGGAAGCTGGATTTCTCACCAGGCCCTTTCCCCTCTGGACTGACTTTCTTAGCTTTGCTTGGCTGCTTTTGGAATTTTAACTGAGCAGAAGGAAGTTTTTCCCACTTATTTCCCCAAGGAGTGACCTCCTGCTCCTTATCAGTCCTTCCCCACCTGGGAGCTGTGTGCCCGCCCCCCTCATCCCCATAGCATACCCTACAACAATCAGGGACTCACTTGGAGGTTTATTGGTGGAGGAACAGGAGCACCTTGTTTTAAACACCATCTTACTCCTCCCCCGGTCATTCGGCCCACAGTGGGAAAATGGCGTTATGGGAGGTGTAGCCAGTACACTGCAAAAGCCAGAAAGAGCGCCCCATGTGGCAAGGTGTCAGCGTCCTGGTAAGCTCTCTCCGAAGGGGCTGGCTGCAGGAACGAGTGGGAAGTAGTCATCTGGCTTCTCCGGCTCCCTGAGGCTGTGGCTCGAGGAGGCTCCCATGGGCATATTCAAACTGACTAGAGATGCCACTGGCAAGGGTGTCGTGTGGTAGCTGTTGGAATCACTGATACCGGTCTCAGTGTCTGTGTTTCCGTTGGAACCCAGGAATCGGGGGGTCACTGAAAACAAAAGAAGAAAGCATTGATAAAAATTTAATTTAAAACTGCCATTTAATTATGTCTTTTCCAGCATGAGTGCCTTAAACACAGATGTGAATGTGGAAATGATCGGTAGTGACAATACATCTGTATGGTATGATTCTAAGAATGAATTTGTAATGCCGAGCTAGTGGTCCCCTGAATGGAGAAAACCCCCACAGCTATCACTTGGGGGATGGGGGAAGTGGAGCGGGGCCATGGAGGGTTACTTTGCATATCTGAAGAACGTGGCCAGTGCTTTAGTAATGTTATAAACTGCCTGCTCAGTGCCAGGGAGATGGGCACGACTGTAACCTGCGATGTGTGACGCAATGTAGCCGGAGGGGCTTCTTGCACCTGTGTAAGCTGCATGAGCAGCTTGGAGGTGACTCCTACGTCAAGGGGCCACGCTAGCCCAGACTAACAATGGCAGCTGAGAAAGGCAGAAGAAGCCAGAGTGCTGGCAGACCTAACCCAGTGTGGGAGGAGTTGGAAATGGGGTCACGGAGGAAGATCCGTGCTGGGATTTAAACCCAGGAGCCCGCAGCCATGCTGGGGCTTATCCTGCCGTTTGAGTGTGGAAAAGGAGCTCATGCGCTCTCCCACTCTCTCCAGCACCACCCCCCCCACCCCGCCCCCTGTGCACCAAGCTCTCCTTAGCCATGCTAGAGCTCTGGCCCATGTGGGAAGGAGAGTAGGAGAGCCACGAGAGGCTCTGGTCCCCCTGCTGTCTTGACCACACAGCTGGGAAGGAGAAGCCTCTTGACCCTGTAGCAGCAATGCGAGGTTTTGGCCATGCGATTGGAAAGGATGCAGAAGGATTCCCCAGCCCACTATGAAGAAGCAGTTTTGGATTGAAAGCATGAGTCTAGCGAGCAGAGCACAGACGACTGGAGGAAACCAGGACACAGATAGGAATCTGCCCAACTAAACTACAGACTTGTTTCCTTTCCTGAGAGACAGTACCTCTGACTGGCCTGTTTTGGCAAGGGGAGGCAGGACTGTGTGTTTGTGGATATTTCTTTCTTTCTAACGGGCATGGGATTTAATGCCTGTTGTTTAGAATTTCGCCATTGTTCTAAACCTGTATAACTTTTGAATAAATAGTTCCTTTCCTTCTCACAAGACTCTGGCATTGGGAGTCATGGTTATTCTTGGCAGTGGGCATTAGAGCCCAGGGCAATAGAAACTAGGGGATCTGTTACAAACTGAGTGGAGAAAGCCAAACAGGAGGGAGGCGGAGCTAAGGCCTGCTCTGCTGAAGTGGAACAGACACCCCCCCAAACCTTAACTGCTGCCTTTATGTGTTCAGAATCTAATGTGTTACGACTCAAAGGCAAAAAGTGAGCCCATTGGGATCTGCCTGATGCCCACTATAACTTGCCCAGAGTCAGCATGGGCACAAAGAAAACCTTCAGAGTTCTCCAAAACAGTAACAACTTAAAAATGCAACACATAGTGTGTCTAGAAAACACATAGTATGGCTAATGTTTTTAAATTTTGATTCCAAGGAAAATACATACTTCTTTTAAATAAAAAATTAAAACTATTTTAAAAGTGCCCCCCAAAATCCCTCTCACTGTATTTGAAAATTAATGCAATGAGGTTTTGTTTGTTTTTTCTTTTCATTTTTTGCAATGAGTTTTAAGTATAATTTTTTGAGTTAGTTAGCGAGAGACTGGCAATGTGGTTGAATAATCTAAAAAGAGCCACTCTTTGCCACAAAACACTTAGAAACTTAGATAACATATAGTTAACGTAATTTTAAATGCATCATTGAACTCACAAAAAGTAAAGAAGAATTAGAGGCCAAAAATGAAAGCCAGCGAAATGAGAACTGCAGCTGGGGCTGCCTGCGGGGCTTGCCAGTCTGGCTGACCGGGGCTCCGTGACACAGGACACAAAATCCTGGGCTCTTGCCAGGTGGGGAGTTTACCGAGGTATTTGCATAAATCCAGGTCTTTCAAAGCACATTCTCGGCAAAAGGGTACACCAGAAAGACATCCATCCACCCAGTGCCACAAGCATATCTGTATCAACCAGGATTCTGCGTCTAAAGGGAAGCCTCTTCTGAAAATTCCGGTCTACGGGTCTGCCCTCACGTGGTCTGTGGTCTGACACGTGGCCCAAGAACTCCCAAACTGAGAAGCTAATACAAAAAATTTCTCCCGAGTCGGTAATATCTTTGAAGTGCTTGACAGAAGAAAACTCCCAATGGTTCCTTGGGGTTTCCCCCCACCCCCAGTTTAGTCCCACAGATAAAGGCCTATCTGAGATAATGTGCTCGCAATAAAAAATGACGGCTACCGCCCTGGCTAGGTGGCTCAGTAGGCTGCAGCAAGGGCTGTGAGTTTGATCCCTGATCAGGGTGCATACCTAAGCTGCGGTTCAGTCCCCCACCTGGGCGTGTTCCAGAGGCGGACAGTTGACGTTCCTCTTTCACACTGACATTTCTCTCTCTCTCTCCCACTGTCTTCTCTCTCTAAAATCAATAAAAATATCCCCAGGTAGGGATTTAAAATAAATTCTAAAAAGAAAAACATCTTTTAAAAAATGACAGCTATGGACATCTGCAAGACCCATATGGCATCAGTATCTGTGAGAGAGGAAGTGGAGAGGCAACAGGGCATCCGATGTTCCTGAATCTCCCCCAGATTCTTGGCGAAAAGGGCAGCAGGCCAGTCCAAGAGGAAGGAAACCGGAAGTGCCTGTAAAGGGTCCTTCTGTGGTCAAATCTGAAGGGGCGGGGGCAGGATGTGCCTTGTGAACTCTCAAACCCATCATCAGAACACACTTCCTTGCAGGATGCGGCCTCACAGCAGGGAAAAATCACTGAAAATGGAATCCACACTGAGTAGGGCCGCAGCAGTAGAGGCAAAGGAAAGGGCAAGGTCAGCTAAAGATAAGACAGTGTCCCGTAAGGTCATTAACACTTCACAAAAACAACAGGAGAGAGCCCTAGAGCCAAACCCAGAGACCTACACTGACCCATCTGTCGTTCCTAAAGGTTGAGAAAAAACATTTCACATAAAAATAAACTGCATCAGAAAAGGTTCATAATCAAAACCCGCACAAAATTATACAAGGAAAGATATGAAGAGTTTTATTGCACACTAAAAAGTGCCGTGAAGCAAATGCAAAATGCAAAAGGCATTTCAAAATAAGCTAAAAGAAATTAAGAAAATGATAGAATACATGAAAGAACAAAACAAGTCACAATTTTAAATATTTATACGCGCAGTGATAAAACTGAGAAAACAGTTAAACATTTTAAAAAGAAATAGTCATTATTTCCAAAACAAAGCCTAACCAGAAAGAACATGAGAGCAAACAAACAAAGCACATAATACCTTGTCAGAAGTAGAACAATACAAGAAGGAAAGTTTAAAGAATAAAAAAGTCCCTGGCCAGGTAGTCCAGTTGGTTAGAAGGTTGTCCTAATACTCCAAGCTTGTGAGTTCAATCCTGATCAGGGTATCTATTAGAATCACCCAATGAATGCATAAATAAGCGGAACAGCAGATTGATGTCTATCTCTCCCCCTTTCTCTCTCTCAAAGTCTTTTAAAAATGAAAGTGGAATACCTATTAGACAAAGATAATCCAACATAGAGCTCTGGCTGGTGTGGCTCAACGGATTGGGTGCCAACCTGCAAATCAGGGGGTTGCTGGTTCAATTCCCAGTCAGGACACATGCCTGGGTTGTAGGCCAGATCCCCAGTTGGGGGCACGCAGGAGGCAACCACACATGGATGTTTTTCTCCCTCTCTTTCTCCCTTTCCCTCTCTCTTTAAATAAATAAATAAATAAATAAATAAATAAATAAATAAATAAAATCTTAAAAAACAAAGATAATCCAATGTACAAATAATAAGAGTACCCAAAGGAGAAAATTTTACATTATGATTTAAGAAACTATCTTGAAGTTAGAAAAAAGAAAAAGATCTGGTAAGTGCGTGTGAAGGCGGCCTGTGCCCTGGGAGAAGTGGGTCAGCAGGACCACCACTGGACCCTGGGTGGGGCTGAAAGCACTGGGAGAGAGGATGTGTGGAGCCCTTTGTGTGAGCTGCTGCCTCCTTCCCCTCAAGCTGAAAGACAGGGGCTTCCTGGGACCACCCAGAGAGGTTCGGCTGTGGCCCCTGGGCACTGGGAGACCCAGTAGGTGGGGGTAAAATTCCCACCCAGGAAACATGGAGGACAGGAGAGAGGGGAGAATGGGTTTCTTTGGTGGTGATGTGAAGTTGCTTCTGCATCCTAGAGGTATAGTGCTCCTCTCCAACGACCAAATTCTGGGAGGATATTACCTGAGGACCAGACACAGCTCCAGAGAGAAGGAGACAGAAAACCAGGGTGGAGCCATTGTAAACCCCACCCAAGAGGGGTCCCTTAAGAAATGAGGGGACTCTGACAGCTAGTGCCTGGGTACCACGAATCCCTGCAGAGCCAAGGCCTGAGAGGGCTGGTGGCCAAATGAAAGAAAGTTCTCACAGAGTCACCAGAGCCGCAGTCTGGAACCCAGGCTGAGGGAAGGGAGACGTGATCTGTTCAGAGTTTTGGTGATCTTTAGGAACTGGGCATTTGAATTTCAGAACCAATGCTGTGTTTGTTATTTAAATGGGCCCCGAGGACCTTTTATAGCCTAAGAGGGAGTCCGTAGGCTATGGGCCCTGTCTGGGGAACAAGCTTTTATTCAGAGGTAAGAGGAAAATTTCTCTCCCTGAAAAAATTATAAAGGAAGACAAAAATAAATTTGCATTTAGATGATGTCCAAAAGTTAAACTTGTTCAACATACCGGCTGCATGGTCTTGCTCTGGATTCCTATCACTCATCACACAAAGACTCTACTCTGATTGCTGAGCAAATTAGGAAGACTTTGCAGCCAGCAGCGGTCTCCCCTCTGGGATACTGTATCTCCTATTTTACAGGAAACATAGATGATAGGCAAAGAGAACTCAGGATTGTCTTACTCATGGGACCCTTGTGAGTTGGAAATGGAGATAGTCAGCATCTAACTCCACAAACCTGCTTTATTAACCCCATCCCTTCTGCTCAGCCCCTTCCACATGAAAACGCTGGGCTCAGTGTGGCGATTAGGGGGAGGGGAGGGAGGTGGGTGGAGGTGGAAAAGGGTATAAGGGGGATAAATGGTGGTAATGGAAAAATACAATAAAAAATCAACTATTAAAATTTTTTAAATAAATTAAAAACACTGGGGTTTGCCTAGGATATTCAGTTCAATCAGCCACAGACTGTTTTCAAGGACAGACTTACAATAACATTGAGAGGAAAGTCATATACACGACTATGTAGAATTAAAAAAAAAAAAACCCTGAGACCAGTTGGGAGAAGGTATCACTCACCCCACGCGCTCTGCACGGTGGGGAGGGTTGCTGGAGCTGCTGCACCGAGGACTCACCTGTCTGCTGTGAGCTGAGACCTTCCCGGGAAATGTGAGAAACTGCCGCTGGTTCGCTCAGCTTCCAACAGCATGGAGTCTTCACTGGGCTGGGAGGAGGGCGGAAGGTTGCTTACAGGCTGGACGGAGAAATTTATAGTCAGGTGACCACGTCTGCTCCCTGATGGCTCCCTGATGGTACTTGGCCTCCTCTGGCCAGAACCATGAAGAAACTTACTTGAGTCTTTCAGCCTAGTCCTGGGAACCTGTTCCTTAAACATCAAACCCCAGAATCATCAGAAAAAAAACAAGGCCTCAGGGAGGACCACCTCCTCTCTCTGATGGGCTGCTGTGGCTACTCTGACCAGAGCACAGGTCTGAAGGCTGAGAGGCGCAGCAGTAACTATAAAAACTGCCTTCGTAAACTGGTGATGGGGATCTAAAGCACACACCTGAAACAAAAGGAGGACGGTGCTGGAGAGTCTGGAACCTGCAGGTTTTAGGCAACCCAGTCACCAGAGTAAACTCAAAATGGATAAAGGACTTAAATGTAAGTTGTGACACCATAAAAGTCCCAGAGGAAAACATAGGCAGGAAAATTTCAGACATCCCACATAGCACTATTTTTGCTGATATGTCTCCTGGGGCAAGGGAAATAAAGAAAAAAAAATAAACAATTGGGACTACATTTGCTTATTTTAAAAACTTTTAAAAAGTTTCTGCACGGCTAAAGAAACCATCATCAAAATGAAAAGGGAACCGACTATATGGGAGAATGTATTTGCCAATGAGACATTGGACAAGGATTTGACCTCCAAAATACTCACACGGCCCAAACACCAAGAAGACAAACAACCCAATTAAAAAATGGGCAAAGGACCTGAACAGACACTTCTCCAAGGAGGACGTACAGAGGGCCCATAGACATGAAAGGATGCTCAGTATCACTAGCCAGCAGAGAGATGCAAATTAAAACCACAATGAGATACCACCTCACACCTGTCAGAACGGCCATCACTAACAAATCAACAAACAACTGCTGGTGAGGATGTGGAGAACAGGGAACCCTACTGCACCGCTGGTGGGGATACAGACTGGTGCAGTATGGAATTTTCTCAAAAAAAGTAAAAGTGGGACTGCCTTATGATCCAGTGATTCCACTGCTAGAAATACTAGAAATATACCCTAAGAATCCTAAAACACCAATTCAAAAGAACTTTTGCACTCCTGTGATCATAGCAGTGCTATTACAATAACCGAGTGTTGGAAATAACCCAAGTGCCCATCAGTAGATGAATGGATTAAAAAACTGGTACATTTACACAATGAAATACTTTGCAGCAGAAAGAAGCAATTCCTACCTTTTGCCATAGCATGGATGGAACTGGAGACTATTATGCTAAGTGAAATAAGCCAGTCAACAAAAGATAAATACCATATGACCTCATTTATAACTGGAAGCTAATGAACAAAATAAACTAATGGGAACAGGCTGAGAGCTGTAGGAGGGGAGGAGGGAGGGAGCCGTGGTGGGAGGAAGGGGGAGGGACTAGTCAAAGGGCACGTGTGAATGACTCATGGACATGCACAACGGAGTGGGAAAGACAGGTGGGCTGGGTGGAGGGGGGCAAAAAAATTGGGACGACTAGGATGGAATAAACAATGAAAACAAACCAGAAAACCCCAGTACATCACATTTACGTAGTGTTTTGAAATCAGCCTTCTTCATTTAATGAACATATTTTCATATCGTAGCAAATTTTGTGCAAATATAATTTTATATTTTAATATGTGAATATATCATGATTTCCTTAAAAATTCTGATGTGTAAAAAGCTTTCACAAACAGATTTAGAAAAATACAAAGCTACCAAAAGAAAAATGGCCAAAGAACAAACTAAACAGTGTGTAAAGAAAGAGATAACAATGTTTAAACTCACTGAAAATCAGACATGCCCCTTCTGTTTACCTATAGTTATTTAAAAAAAATGAACATCTGTAATTCTCAATTGTGATAAGAATGCAGTGATACAGGCATTTGTATTATTGGCAAGAGTATAATTTGGCATGAACTTTCTAGAAATAATCTGGCCATATGTATTAAAAACCTTAAAAATGTTCATACCCTTTGAATTCTACTTCTAAAAATCTACTCTGAGAAACAGGCAAACTGTGGGCATTACCTATAAATGCTCATTTTAGCATCATATACAATGATGAAAAGTTGGAAACAACTTTAGATACCTGACTTTAGGGACATAAAGTAAATTTTAATTCATTCATACAAGAGAAGAGCATGAAATTATCAAAATGATGTGTATGAAGACCTTTTAAAGGAAATGGATCCCAAACAATAAAAAGCTAAAGGCATTTATCACCACCAAACTGGTATTACAGAAATGCTAAAGGGACTTCTTTAAACAGAAAAAGAGATAAAAAACATGAATAATAAAATGGCAATAATGGCAATAATGACATACCTATCACCCATTAGTTTAAAGCAAACCCTCCGATCAGAAGACATGAAGTGGAGAGGAGAGCAAGACCAGCACAGCAGCTGCCCACACGGGACTCTCTTCAGACCGCAGGACACACAGACTGGCAGCAAAGAGGTGGAAAAAGGTGTCTCATGAACAGGAAAACCAAAAAAGCTGTGGTAGCAATATGCACACCAGACAAAATAGAGTTTAAAACAAAAACTGTAACAAAGAAGGATATTTCATACGCAAAAGCCAAGACCTGGAACTAGGCTAAGTGTCCATAGATGGATGACTGGACGAAAGAGATGCAGTACATGTACGAGGTCTGTTAAGAAAAAGTCCAGCTAGTGTTAATCTAAGGAGAATGGTTTGCGAGACATTGATGTAACCTGGCAGCCAAGGAGAGTGGACTGGAATGCACGTTCATGAACAATGACGACTTCACTGGGGGCAGTAGACGCTGTTGAGTGAGCATGTGTACTGTGTGGCCATCGCATTCAAAATGACCGAGTAGAGCAATGAATATTCAACAAGTTTTGCATTAAGCTTGAACATTCCTCCGTGGGAACCATTCAAATGATTTAGAAAGCTTTCAGGGATGATACAATGAGTGTGGCACAAATGCTTCAAAGATGGTCCAGCATCTGTTGAAAGTGATCCACATTCTGGAAGGCCTGCAACAAGCAGAACCCCTGAGAATGTTAACTGCGTTTGGGCCGCAATCAACAAAGATCAGCAACCGACAGGGTAAGAACTAGAGCTGATCTGGGGGTTCCAAAAACTACTGTGTCCAACATTTTGACTCAGGATCTTGACATGAAACATGTCATGGCAAAATTTGTTCCAAGACTTCTGCTACCAGAGCAGAAGGAACGTCGTGGGGCAGTTGCTAATGACTTGATACAAATCGCTACCCATGAACCATATTTCCTCAAGATGGTTGTAAGTTTGAAGGGAACCGAGGCATCCTTGTCCTATGTATAATGTTTCTGGTATCCTATATCTTCTTCAATAAATGTCTCTATTTTTCATAGTAGCTGGCTGGATACTTTCTGGAATACCACTTGGCCATAAAAAAGAATGAGATCTTGCCATTCACTACAACATGGATGGACCTAGAGGGTATTATGGTCAGTGAGAAAAGCCAGACAGAGAAAAACAAATACCATATGCTTTCATTTATATATGGAATCTAAAAAACAAATAAAACAGAAACAAACTCATATGGGGATGGAGAGAATCGAGAAAAAACATAAAAGGACTCATGGACACGGGCAACAGTGTGGTGATTGTGGGGGGAACTGGGGTAAAAGGTAATGGAAGAAATATAATGAAAAATGATAAATTCATTAAAATAAATTTTTTAAAGAAACAAACTGGTAGGTACAGAGAACAAGCCGATGGTTGCCAGATGGGAAGGGGTTTAAGCAGCTGGGTGAGAAGGTGGAAGGATCGAGAAGTGCAAGCTGACAGTTAGAGAGGAGTCTCGCGGATGGAACGCGCAGCATCGGGGATGTGGTCAGTGATGTCACCACAACCACGCGTGGCGCCAGGTGGGTGCCGGACTCACTGGGGGAGCACTTCACAAGTTGTATAAACATCCGACCACTGTGCTGTACACCGGAAACTAACGTAATATTGAATGTCAACTGTCACTGAAAAATACAAAACTTTTTAATGGAAAAAATGTTTAGGATGTGATCTAAATCGAAAAAAGCAATATTCAAAGATGTATATGTCTTTAATGTCCTCAAATATGTTAGGTAAACATTAATTTACAATGAAAGACTAGAAGGAAATATGCCAAGTGTTCCAAGTGATGGCTTGGGGCTAAAGAAAAATGGGGTGACTTTTCCTGTAATTTTCTGATTTTCCTCAGGGAGCGTTATTACTTCATGATACTGGGGGGAAAAAAAGAACACTTTTGAGTGAGTTAAGTACATCATAGCTCTTCCTTTAGAAAAACTAATTTGCTTTCATAGGTATGTGTATATCACATATCGCTGACCTTTGAAATGAAGTCTTCTCATCCCCCCCCAGCGCACTGGACTTTAATACTCATCGGTGCTGGGGGGGGGGGATGCTATGCCTCCAACCCCGTCCCCCCTCCCTAGAGATCTCAGCGGGAGGGTCCCACTTACTGTGGCTTCATTGGAGCTGCTGGACATCTTGGGCACCAGGCAGTGCGTGAACTGGATCCTGGGGTCTTTGGTGGTGATGGACAGACCTTGCTGCAGAATTTTCACCAAGCGCATCCAAAATTGAAACACAGCCTCTGGGTGTTTCTCGTGGAGCTTCAGGTAGTAGAGCTTTTCAGTCACTGTCCTAAGGCGCAGGATGCGTTGGAGCCGGTCACAGATTTGTAGCTCCACAAACTTCAGGGGGAGAATCCTGGACACAATCAGGAAATTCCCATGGCCGAATAGCCCAGGGTTTGAATCCACCACGCTGGCGCCTACCTGGAGCGTGGCTCGACCTCCCTGGGCTGCCACCTCTGCCTGGGGGTGCACACGGAGAGGGCTGTGGTCTGAGAGTGGGAAGGTTCCACAGACAGACTCTTCTTTCCTCTCCCGGACCTTAGCATCAAAAGAATCTGCCCCGTCAATGACAATGGTATAGTGTATCTCTCGTAATCCTCACAACACCCATTCAGTGAAGGAAAGAGAAGTATTATTAAGTCCATATTTATAAATTTTGGGTTTTTAAAAAAGATTTTATTTATTTATTTTTAGAGAGAGGAGAAAGAAGGAAGAGAGGGAAAAAACATCAATGTGTGGTTGCCTCTCATGTGCCCCCTACTGGGGATCTGGCCTGCAACCCAGGCATGTACCATGCCTGGGAATTGAACTGGCGACCCTTTGGTTTGCAGGCTAGCACTCAATCCACTGAGCCACACCTGCCAGGACATTTTACAGATTTTGAAACTGACGCTCAGAGAAGCTAAGGGATTTGGTCAAGTTCAGATCTAAGTGGGAACTGGAACTAAGGTTTTCTGACTCCATTTCTAGATCCCCTTCACCCTGTAACCTGATAACTCTACTGAAAGAGTAAGAAGGTACATCCAGCATTTTTTTCCAGTCTCAACACCTAATAATCCCATTTGACTGTCATACATATACCTTTTTCTTTACCCCCCCCCCAGGTCTATATTGACAAAATAAAGAAGACCCAAGGTCTTCAACAACTAGGCTGAGACAGACTGACACTCCGCCCACAGCACTGAGCACAGTGCTTAGCATACACAGATACTAAATAAACACTTGTTAAATGAATGAACGAGCTTCTGCAAGGCTTGTACATAAGCCACACTGTCCTTTCTCTCCATCCGAAGTCCAGCAGCAGAACCTCACAGTCTGCCATCCCGCCCCTCTGGCCCCTCCCTGAGGCCTTTCTTTACCTGCTGAGGGTGATGACTGGGGCGCGGTCAGGGGTGCCCCTGGTGGAAAGCGGACCCTGGGGCCAGGTGATGTTGGCCATCAGGAGGATGTTGGGGAGCGGCAAGGAGGGCACGGTGGAGGTTACCCCAAGGATCACGGTGGTCGACCCTTCATAGACATTCATCCAGTTCCCGGGCTTAGTGACCTAGAAATCAGCCCCAGGTTCTTGGGTCAGAGAAGCAGGAGATGAGAGGGGGAAGGTACAGGGGCTAGAAGGCAGCACTTCAGCCTGGTGAGGAGCTCAGAGCACCTGTGCTTCTCGCCTGCGTGAGGCACGCTGGGCTGGGCCATGGCCTGCACCCCCCTTTGTGTGGCTCTCCCCACACAGACAAGCTCATTGGCACCAGCAACGCCACGTGGCCCTTCTTTGTATCCTCTGCATCATCTAACTTTATTTATTTTTTTAATTGTTTTTGCATCTAACTTTAAGGGGATGCACTGGTAAGAACAAAATTTATTCTTTCATCCTTGGGTAGAAGCCAGCACGGGTTTCTAGAGGTCTGGAAGAGAGATTATTGGAAGACAGTTCCAGAAAGGGAGGAGAGTGAGGAAAACCCCATGATGCTCTAGGCATAAACGGGCGACCTTGAGACCAAAATCCTCTGGTTTCACCAGCCAGAATGGCTTCTTTCTCCTCCCCGGGGCTTTAAAAGGCCACAGCATTTTTGGACCAACCCCTGGGAACAGGTTTTAGAAAGGGAAAGAAAGGGTACCTGGATAAAGTTGCTTTCGAACACTGTCGAGTTGGGAAACAAGTTGAATTCTGGAGAATGAATCAGTTGACAAAGAAGGCCATCTTCCACCCCAAGTTCCACTCCAGGGCCTGGGACCCTGACCTCTGGAGGGAGGCCCCTGATTTTACTCATTGGATCTGGGGAAGAACGGGCTGGGAAACATCCCTGGGGCTCCGCGCAGACCCAGCCCGACTCCAAGGTGCTGATGGACTGCCGCCCCCCTCCCCTTTCCTCCACAGCTCCCCACCCCCTGCTGCTCTGCAGGCTGACCTCCAGGCCAGGGGGCCGGCTCACAATGGCCGGAATGACATCAGGAATGTGATGGCAGCAACAGGAAAGGAAAAACAGAGGAAAGGAAGACTTAGGGAGGAGCAAGGCTTTTCTCTCCCTTTTCTTACTCACTACGAACTAGCAGTAATGAAGCCTATTCCACTTTTCTTTCAATCTCCCCACAAACACAAGGCAAATGTCTCTCCCAAGGAGACACCAGGGCAGCAAAGAAGGCTCTCAGGAAACGCAGCCTTCCATCCGTCCCCCTCACAGGGAAGCCTCTCACAGACTCGCTCTGTAACTGTGACTTGTGCCTACATAAAAATTACCTCAGGGGTGGAAAAGTTCGTTACAAATATATTTTATTACATTGCATTTTGAAAATCCATGGAAAAGAAAATAAACATGTTGAAGAAAAAAAGGGCGGCATGCGTCCTGGGAACCAACCCACTAGTTCAGTGATGTGGCCCACGTCACTGAGCTTCCTTCGTTTCCTCTGTAGTAAAGTGACAGGGTGGCACAGGAGTGAAGGCCTCAGGTTAACAGTCAACAGAAATTTAAAATCTGTACTTCCCATTTTCTGAATGCTATGTGTAGGCTCACCTCCATGCCCTTGCTCACTTAACACTCCAGTGGCAAACTCTTCCCTAATTTGACCATCTAGTCATTTTTAAAAATTCAGATCCTCGGAGATGTTTTCCCTGAACTTCCACCTTCTGCCGGCACTGTCCTAAACAATATTCTATCACAGAACCACAAAATGTTATTGTTTACACGCTTCTTCCATCTTATGTATGTCATCTGAGGGAGGTGGTGGTGAGGTCTTACTCAATGCCTGGTACCAGTAGGTATTGTAAGCAGTATATCAATCCGGATGGGCCGAGTTATGCTGCAGTGACCAAAAAAAAAACCAAAAAACCCCAAACCTAAGTAGCTTAACAACAAAGGCTGATTTCTCATTTACACTGCATGTTCACCAGGGATCCGGTGAGGGCCCTGCTCCACGCATCCCTGCTCCACAAATGGAGCGGTTCCATCTGGAGTACTGCTGGTCGCCGCAGTGGAAGGAAAAACTTTTTGAAGGTTTTTGAACCAGTGCTTACATGCTCCAACCTAGAATTGACACAAGTCACGTCTATTCACACTCATTGGCCAGAAATAATTCCTGGCCCCATCTAACCACAAAGGGATCAGGAAGTGCAATTCTGTCATGTGCCTGAAAGGCAAGTGCAGAAACATTTGGAGAACACTAATGGCTACCACTAATGACCCACTAGTCAGTAACCATTCAGCTCACTATCCCTCCTGCAGACGGAATACATTCACCATACACACCTCCAAGGAGCAACCTCAGAATTCCATTCAGCCACAGCATCGTTCAACTCAAGAATCTGAGTGATGCACAATCGTCTCTAGACCAGTTTCAGATGTGGCCTGAGATGGAGATCTACAGACTAAAAGAGACAGGCCATGTGCCCCCACCATCGAATATGTAATGGAGGACTACGGACAGGATAAACGCTGTGAGGGGAAGCGGGGAAGAATGGGAGACACAGCAGCCTGGTGATTAAGATGTTCCACTGAGCAGATGTGATGAAAGCGAAAGGGATTCCCTCCATTGGCCCCCACTCTGCATCCTGGGAACTCATTCTTAGGCAACTGTCCTTTCAAGCTACTGAGACGTTAGGTTGTTGCGGGAGCATAACCTAACCTAATGCCTACTTGACTGATAACAGATTGGAATCTAGGGGGCAGTGTTGTATATTTAAAAAACGAACACCAGAAAAACCCTCCTACGTGTGACATCAATTTATTTGGAAGGTAGCAAAGAGATCTTATTGGAGGCTGGAAGGATGGCAGCGCATGCTATATACAGCAGCAGAATATTTGGTAGAATTGTTGCCTGCAGTAACTTACGAGGTATACCTGAATCTAATTTATCCAAAAAGCTAGGAGAGTCAGAGAACAGTTTTAGCAGATTGAACACTGTTGGTAGCTATCGACAGCGCACCACAAAATGAGCTAAGAGGAAAACCAGCCAGCTTGCAAGCAGACACAGGGGATCTAGAGAGACTGCAGAAATCTCAAGCTGGCCGGCTCAGAGGAGCAGCTGCTCCTCCTCCCTAAGTGATAAGATAACACTGAGAAATGTCTGGAATGGCAAACACAAAGCAAGCGCAGCTTTGTAGGCAGGGTTTGCTCGGAAGTGTCCCCGTTTCAGCACAAGTCCTGCATCCCAGGAACGGGGCCTGGTGAGGCAGACAGACATCGACTTACAGCACAGGTGGCAAACGCAAAGCCTGTGGGCTGGGTCCGGCCTGGCACTTTGTTTCTACCTGGTGGCAGTGCCGAGCTCCTCGGCCCTAGTTAAGGTGCAGTTACATTTATACAGTCCTAAAATTATACTCGGCCCTTTGAAGGCAACCGTTAGGCTGATGTGGCCTCCTGAGAAAATGAGTTTGACACCCCTGCACTAAAGGCTCAGATGATAGTTAGCATTTTTTTTTAGCAATAAAGTATTTTTAAATGAAGGTATACATTGGTTTTTAGATATAATGCTATTGCACTTAACACACTACAGTATCACGTACACGTGACTTTCACATGCAGTGGGAGACCAGTAAATCCCCAGTACAGCAATCCACGGTCCTGGACTTCAACGTGGGGTGGGGACAGAGTGACGGACACCAAGAAAAATGCCAAGCTGCTCAGACCTGGGTAAGAGCAGAAACAGTGATCCATGAAGTATGGAAGTTTTACCAGCCTGTCAGAGAGCAAGTAGAATTGAGTAGTTATTCTGATGGATGAGCACAGAAAAACGCCACAGCCAGGCTCTGGTTGCCCAGCTGGTTAGTGTCATCCCCATTCACCAGGGTTGAGGGTTTGATCCCTGGTCTGGGAACGTACAAGGACCCACCAATGAAGGCATACCTGGAACAAAAATCAGTGTTTCTCTCTCTTACTAAAATTAATTTTTAAGAAACTGAAAAATCAAGGCCTCGTGGACTGGATAGCTTTGTTTTCCCCAGAGACTGAAGATGAAGGAACTGGAAGAAGCTATCATTTTTCTTTTGCTTAGACATGAACAGTCAACAAAGGACAGTAAGGATCTTGGCCAAACTCCACAGCTGTGGATTCAGATTGAGCAGTTTGCCCCTGCCTCCAAATTCAGAGGTTCCTTTACCTTGTTTTACTTTTTAAACGGTTTTGTTTATTTATTTATTTTTAGAGGGGAAAGGAGGGAGAAAGGAGGAGAGAAATATGTGTGAGAGAAACACTGGCACTCAATCCACTGAGCTACACCAGCCAGGGCCCTTCACCTTGTTTTAATCGCTTGCGAATCCCCACGTTTTAAGATGTTAAACCTCAGATGTATGAATTAAAGGTTCTGTCCTAACCACTAATTTCAAGGGCAGAAGTCAACACATATTGGAAACATACATTCAACTTTATTTCACTAGAAAAATTCACTTAAGCCACATGGTGGCTGTAACACCCATGTCCTGAGCAGGCTCTGTCATCCCCACTGTCCCCTTTAGACCAGTACATACAGAGACATAATGCATTGGTGGACGGACTTAAAAATGTAAAACGGGAACTGGACACTGAACACTCTGTCTTCCCCCTCCCTAGAGCCAGGGCACACACCTCACACCTCTTCAACTGTCATGCATACAGAGGCCCTCACGTGAAAGAGAAGCCAAACACCAAAGAAATTGACCATAAGCCAACCAAGTCCAAAGAAACTCTTGGCAGATGTTTAGGAAGTAGGGCTGAAAACACCATCATCTCCCGACAGCTGAAGCTGGAGCACAAGCCCTCATCTAAGAGAGGTCAGAGCCACGCTGCCAAGGACAACAAGGAGTGTGGCAAACTGGCAAGAGCGAAATCACCCCATCCCAGAGGCAAGCTGCCCACACCATTTCCAGGGCAAGCATTCAGATGGAGGGGCCCTTCAAGGGCCTAGTAACAGTCACTTCTCTAATAACATTGATGCTGAGCTCGCCTGCTGAGAACCCGACACCTGGCTGAACAGATTTAGGTCAATGTTCCAAGGTTATAGCTGGTGGAGGGAGGTCTTATCACACCTCTCTGGGTGGATGTTCTGGAAGGCCCTTGGGGGTTCTGTGCTGGCTAGTTGACCTCTGGTGGTCCAGAAGCTCCCAGGCAATGGGTTGTCCAGTAAGCCCTCCAGTGACTCCATCAGTCTCACACAGATGGAAAGGAAGGTCAGCACCACCCCCACGAGATACAGGTTCAACATATGTTTCATAGCTGAAAGGATCCCACTCCTGTGAAGAGCAGCAAAACTATCTTCTGCTTCTGGAAGGCCTCTGGATGCTGAGGAAAGAGAGGCAAAGTTAGTCTAGAGCCTTTTGGGAAGTGCATGTATCTGGCCCTAACCCTTTTATCTTCCCAGGGAGAGACCCAGCCAGCCAGGGGTACAGGGGCCCATCATGTTTTTCCACAGCAGAAGCTCAAGTACGCTTACACTGTAAACTCCACGGCTGAGGAACCCGTTTTGCTTCTTTTCATGAGCACACCTTAAACCTTTTACTTCTTCTTAATAAAAAAACCTTTGCTTCTGCCAGGTGCAATGTACCATCCCTGTGCCACAGTCCAGGGGTCAGAAACCTTCCTTAAGTAAAAGCCAAGTCCTTTTGTACCTGGGAACGGGGCTGTAAGAGCATGCCCTTGAGAAAGCAACCTGCCTGGGAAGCCTCCCTCACATCTTATTCAGGTTCAAGTTAATCATAAACTTTCTGAAAGTCAAAATAATTCTAAGAGAGTCGAACCCTGAATACCCACACGTGTTAAGCATCCTGCAATGTACTAGGGCAAAATGGGGCTCTGGGGACATGAACCATGTCCTCTTGCGGCTAACGACAGGTTAAGAATACAGGCAGTTACTACAAAGACAACGAGCCAAGTGCCGTAACAGGAAGGAGATGCTAAGAGTGCCATTGCGGCACGGATGCCTAACTCAGCACTGGAGCAAGGAGTGGGCCATGTGGATCCCAGTTAGGGCCACTCCCAGAGAAAGCAGGTCTGCGGTGGCGCAGTGGGGACCTGGGTGGAGGCAGAGAGAGGAGGGAAGCTCCAGGAGGCAACGAAGGCCGGAAGACGGGGTGGGGAGCCGGGTAAGCTCAGAGGGCCACTCACCTCCAGGCAGAAGGGCCGGGAGTAGCCCCGCTCGCTGTAACAGCAGGTCGTGCAGGAGTCGGGAGGGAGGTCTGCCAACGAGAGCACGAGGTCATAACCCAGACCGTCGCTACAAGACAAAAGCTCGACGCCAGAGAGACAGCCGAACTGCCCGCACCGCCTACTTATACGCGCGGCCCAGCCCCCGGGCTACAAGCGCACGCACACACGCACGCACGCACGCCCTCCGCCGCACGTCCGCACTCACGCGGCCCCGCCCCCCCGGCGAGGGCGGGGTGTGGTCTCGGGCGGTCCGGAGGCTGTGGTTACAGCTGTTTGGGAAAATATACCGTGAGTGTCCGAGACAGTGAGGTCGGCAGTGATTAGGCGCGTGTGTCAACTTCAGTCGCTTTTTCTGCTGCGTGAAGCTTTGGGAGCGATCAGAAAGTTCATCCCCTCCACCCCCCGCATACTAGATCGGTGGAAACACCCGCAGTGCCCCAGTCCAAGGGCTCTCAGCTGGGATGTGATGAAGTACGGCTCCCAGAGGAAGATGGTTCTTCACCATACATTCCAACAAAGCACAGCTTGGTGGAGGGCATCAGACCCCCCCCCCCTGCAGCCCCCCAGTTTTCTCCATTAAAGGGACTGAAGAGCCGACTTTGGAGGAGTTTCCCTTCCTTAGAGATAACAAGATTCCAGATGCCACCCCCGCCCACCCTTCATTCCAAATCCTGAAGATTAATGTAACACACTCTGATTTCTATGAGAATTTGTCACATTGTTTAAGGAAATGTGAAATACTGCCTGGTCCTGGTGTCTGCGCCTAACTGCACCTGAGTGTTACTTCGCACTCCTTGGGCCTACTTCTTAATCTAAAATGTAGCCATTGGAGATTTTTGATACCTTCAGTTGAACCAAAGAGCTAGGACGTCCTAGTCCAGCCTTATGCCAGGTTTGGGGGCTGGGACGGCCAAATTATAGACGTTCCGTCGTGAGAGCACCTAATGGCGGGTCTCAGGAAGTAAAGTCTTGGGGAGACGCTGGGAGTGGGGAGCCCGTGGGAAGGAACATCTATGCCACCGCGAAGGCAAGGCTGTAGGTGGTTTCACTGCCTCCCTCCTGGAGAAGAGGCGGGGAGAGAGCCAAAACTCGGGGACAAGACGACTCTTGGCGGGTCCGCTGAGCTCCAGGACTGGCTGTTTTGCATGCCGGGCTGGATGAGCAAAAACCCGGCGTATCCCTGCGCTCTGTGGGCTCCGTAGAAACGAGACAGAACGCGCAGGAAGGGAGGAGCCAAATCCCCACTGCGACCTTTCCCCTGCATTCTGGGCTATCTATCATCTGTCAGAGAGGGTGGGGAAGCCGGGAAAGGAGAAAGTTAGGATGGGAAACGTGTTGGTTGGCAGGCAGGCAGGCAGACACTTTGAAATTAATCGTTCTACTCAGCTCGCAGGAATTTTGGGTCCTTCATTACCCTGGAGCTTCGTCTGCTTTTTGGTCCACTCAGTTACTCTTTCACACTGTTATTAGGAGAGGCTCAAGCTCTGAAATCATTCCAGGTGTCCCAAATGCCACCATTTGCTAGAATCTTTAACCTTCTTTTTCTTCTCTTTTCTTTTAAATTAAGGTTTTATTTACTGTTGGGGGGGGGGAGGGAAGGGGAAAAGGAGAGAGAGAAACATTGGCCTGTTGCCTCCTGTACACCTCCAACCTGTGGCCAGGCCCACAAGCCAGGCATGTGCCCTGACAGGGAACTGAACCCACAACATTTTGGTTCATGGGACTGTGTGCCAACCAACAGCCACACCAGTCAGGGGGAATCCTTTAACCTTTCCGTGCTTTGGCTTCCTCAACTACTCTTCTCACCTGGAAATTAAATGAATTAATCTTCTTAAAGCACTGAGAACAGTTCCTGAGACATAGAAAACGTTCCATAAGTGTTATTATTCGCATCGTTGACTACAAAACTCCCAGTGAGGGACTTTGCTCAAAATAGCCTATGTTCAGTGAGTGAACACAGGAATTCCACAATAACCCTTTGGGCGCTGTGTATTGTGAGCTCTAACTTTTTTTCCTTTTTAATATATTTTATTGATTATGCCATTACAGTTGACCCATTCCCCCCTTCATTACCCTCCACCCTGCACACCCCTCCCCCACCACTCCCCCCTTTAGTTTATGTCCATGTGTCTGTCACCAGTTCTTTAGATTCTATATTTCCCACACAATTCTTGCCCTCCCCCCGTCTATTTTCTACCTACCACCTATGCTACTAATTCTCTGTACCTTCTCCCCCTTCTCCTTCTCCCACTCCCCTATTGCTAACCCTCCATGTGATCTCCATTTCTATGGTTCTGCTCTTGATCTAGCTATCTTCTTAGTTTGCTTTTGTTTTAGGTGTGGTTGTTAATAAGTGTGAGTTTGCTGTCCTTTCACTATTCATATTTTTTATCTTCTTTTTCTTAGATAAGTCCCTTTAACATTTCATATAATAAGGGCTTGGTGATGATGAACTCCTTGAATTTGACCTTATCTGAGAAGCACTTTATCTGCCCTTCCATTCTAAATGAAAGAAAGCTTTGCTGGATAGAGCAATCTTGGATATAGGTCTTTGAATTTCATGACTTGGAATACTTCTTTCCAGCCCCTTCTTGCCTGTAAGGTCTCTTTTGAGAAATCAGCTGGAAGTCTGATGGGAACTCCTTTGTAGGTGACTGTCCCCTTATGTCTTGCTGCTTCTAGGATTCTCTCCTTCATTTTAATCTTGGCTAATGTAATTATGATGTGCCTTGGTGTGTTCCTTCTTGGGTCCAACTTCTTTGGGACTCTCTGAGCTTCCTGGATTTCCTGGAAGTCTATTGCCTTTGCCAGGTTGGGGAAGTTCTCCTTTATTATTTATTCAAATAAGTTGTCCACTGGTGGCTGTTCCTCTTCCCCTTCTGGTACCCCTATAATTCGGATGTTGGAACATTTAAAGATGTTCTGGAGGTTCCTAAGCCTCCCCTCATTTTTTAAAATTCTTATTTCTTTATTCTTTTCTGTTTGGTCATTTTTTTCTTCCTTCTGGTCCACTCCCTTGATTTGAGTCCCAGTTTCCTTTCCATCGGTATTGGTTTCCTGTGCATTTCCCTTCATTTCAATTAGTTTAGCTTTCATTTGTTCCTTCATTTGTTCCTCTAAAATCAACCAGTTCTGTGAGCATCCTGATCACCAGTGTTTTGAACTGTGCATTTGATAGGTTGCCTATCTCTTAGTCACTTAGAAGTATTGGCTGTTGTAGACAGCTCTGCCTGCTTTTAGGAATTGTATCTTGATCCCTGTGGCTAAGGGCAAGGGACGACTGACCTCTGGAATGTGAGCTGCAGGAGACAAAGCTTGTCTCTGGTAGCAAACACTGCCTCAGTTTCCTCTCCCCGCACCCAAAGCTTGGTCGGAAGTCAATGACGGGTAAGACCCCTCATAGCAGGGGGCAACCTAAGCCAGACTTGATCACTCAATCACTCGATCCTTCATGGAAGGACTCGGGGCACTGCAACAAAAAGCAATGTACTCTCGCCCCCATTTTTGACAAAGCCCAAGTCCCCATGTTCTCTGGGAGAAGTGCTTCCTGGCTCTAATCCCCTTAAGCCTGAATACCTGATGGGGAGAGGTGCAGCTCCTTGCTTTGCTAGAGCGCGTCCTGGGGGAAAATCTGGCATCACAAAGATTTCCTGATAAACCTGTGAAATCTGCTCTGCTAAGAGTGCTTTCATTCATGTATTAAGGGTTCGAGCAGGAAACCCTAAAACTCTGCTCCTGACAGACTCAGACTCATAGTAAGCCCTCAGATTTCTTTGAAATGTTATCTACTGTTTGATCCTTGCTGCCCTATATTCCTGTGTATTAGAACCCAATAAAAGACTATAGAGCAGGGGCTCAGGGCCTTCTTCTGAGAGAAACTGGCCTCTGCTGGCCTTTTTCCCTGAGAAACTGGCTATAGCCCACTTCTCCGCCCCAATTAGATCACATCATGTCTTGGCCATATTCACTAATGTCCATGGCACTTGGGGGGACTTGCGAGAAAGTTGCTCCCACAATTGGCTCTGGGGCTTTGAGCTATTCTTCTTGAGCCATAATGTTTAGGTCTGTTCATGCCTGTTACATATGAGGGGCGGAGCCTTAGGTGTTCACCAGTGGGCGGCAACCCTGTCGCTGGGTTGTGACGCTATATGTGGGGGCGGGGTCAGAGAGGGGCAATGGCATTGTTCCACGCTCTCTCTTGGATTTCAGTCCCCTCTGCTGCTTCCTGCAAGCAAACCAGGGCCCCCCTGGTGCCAGCTCCCAGGTGTGTGGGCCTGTGCACCTTCCAGGCCTGTGGGTCTCTCCAACGAACACTCTGTGAGCCTGGGAACCTCTTCTGGCACTTCAACCCTGAAAGTTTTCCCAATTGGTGCTTTTAGGCCTTAATTCTTGTCACTGGAGCCCCAGCCTGCACGGTCTGTCTCACTGCTCGCTCCTTTGCCTGGTTTATCTGTGCATGAATGTGTAACCACAGTCAGCCAGCCACCTTGCGCCCTCACTGGGTCCACCCGTTGCCACCCCGAGCCTGGGATCTGCCAACTGCCTTCTGCGCTCCTGGGTCGGTCTGGCAGCTTTTTCCTGCCAGACCCCACTCGGCCAGCCGCTGACTCTGCCCCTCTTACTGGGGCGGTTCCTTGTTGTTGGACTTCCGCACAGTTCAATTTTCTGTGTTTTGGTTGCGTTTTTGTTACTAAAACTTTGTTGTCTTTAACCTTGGTTGTGTGAGAAGGCACAGTGTTTCCACCTATGCCTCCATCTTGGCCGGAAGTCAGCTCTTTTTTTTTTTTCCATTTTAGAGAGTGAGGGAAAGGAAGAGAGAAAGAGAGAGAGAAACACTGACAGACTGCCCTCTGCAGGCCCCAGGGCCTAACTGCAAGTCGGGCATGTTCCCTCACGGGGGAATCCAACCTGCAATCTTTGGGTTGGCAGGACGCAGCCCAATCAACAGAGCTACACAAGTGGGCACTGAACTCTAAGTTTTTGGGGGTTTTTAAAATTTTATTTATTGATCTTTAGAAGGGAAGGGAAGGAGAAAGGGAGAGAAACATCAATGTCTGGTTGCCTCTCGTGCATCCCCTGCTGGGAACTGGCCCGCAACCCAGGCATGTGCCCCGACTGGGAACCAAACCACGATCATC